CTACCTGAAACAGGGTTCCAAAGAGGATGGATCTAGACTGTTCTCAGTGGTAGCAGATGACAGAACAAGGAGTAATGGTCTCAAGTTGCAGTGGGGGAGGTTTAGGTTGGATATTAAGAAAAACTTTTTCACTAGGAGGGTGGTGAAGCACTGGAATGGGTTACCTAGGGAGGTGGTGGAATCTCCTTCCTTAGAGGTTTTTAAGGTCAGGCTTGACAAAACCCTGGCTGGGATGATTTAGTTGGGAATTGGTCCTGCTTTGAGCAGGGGGTTGGACTAGATGATCTCCTGAGGTCCCTTCCAACCCTGATATTCTATGATTCTATGAGTCTGTGAGAATATAAGCTTTCATTCCGGGAAAAATAAAGGGAGGTTTCTAGCCCTCCTAATTTATGGAGGGAAGCTTAAAAATGTGACTCCTAAAAGCAAAGGCAAATAAGAAGAACCCAACACTGATTTTTAAAACCTCATGCTTTTAGGGGCTCTGATTAGTGATTGCTTGGTGCTGGGTGCATTGAAAGCTTGGGGATGGCAATTCTGAGTTCCATTCATCAGCTATCATCCCCTTTATTTCCTTTAAACACTGATCGTTCACTCGCCTTTAAGGTATTCATGGCATCAGATGTCTTACAAAGTACCCAAGTGGCATACATCAAGTAATTGTTAAATTACTTTGTCTAGCATTCTGGAATCCCTGTGGTGTTCCCATTGGAATGTCCTGTAGGTCTGCACTGCCTCTGCACCTAACATAAGTAGCCTTGTAGAGCACTTCACCCTTTCAGCTTTCTCTTCAATACCCCTGGCTTGCAGGAAAATCTGGAAGCATTGCAATCAGCTCCTCCACTTTTCTGTCAGCTCTCCTCTTGGACTGAGGGATTTTGGGGGCTTCATTTGATTTTTTTTTTGCCAAATATATTAGTGTGATAAAGGTTTAACTCTCAGGAGTGCAGGTATGAGACTGCAGTTTAATTATTGGCCCCACTCACAAAGTTATGGGTCAGGTTTATAAAAGCTTAATATCAGATCTGGTAAAAGTTTTCCACATTATGAGCTTGGACAAAAATTGCCAAAAAATAAATTTGATGAAAAAAAAAAGAGGACAATTTTAGGATGACAACTATAAAGATGGTCAAATGTTCAGCAAACCATTGATTTTGAAGACAGGTAATGTTTTTGAAAATTCCAGGGTTTTTTTGGTATTGTTTCATTGTGTTCAGTTTTGTTTAAACCAGTTCTTCATACTCTTGCCATGAGTCAGTATCAACTGATTCCAGTGGCTGTTGCTACAAGAACCATGAGAATTTCTCTTTAGGTCATACATGACTGTGACCGTAAGTGCCCCTCAATGCCAATGGACGTATAGTTCTGTAGACTCCCATCAGGCCTGACATGCTTACTATGCCTTATATATTACCGACGTATTTATTTGTAAAGAGTGTCATGTGAAGTATCAAAGGAAAGCTGGTGAGACAGAAGTCAGTAATATCATTGTGTGGTATACAGAGGTGTGTAAAGAGTAACGTATGTGTGCCAGAACTATGTTCCTAAAATATGTTTTAGTTTGTCCTACACAAAGCAATATTAATTTACCTATCTGCCCAGAGCCAGAGACACTGAAAGTTACATTTGCATCTGAGTCAACAGGAAAAGTAAATTGGGAAAAAGATGAAGAGGACAGTGTGGCATCAGCACACACATAGCAGGGGAAGCGAACTTCTGGGGATACACTTCAAAAGAATACATGGCAAAGATTTATTGGCTTATAAGAAGGGAAGAGAACCCTGATGTTATCCGTCACTGAGGAAACAAAGAGGCCAGTGCTCTTTGCAGCTAGGTGGATCTTCAACCATGTGGGTTGGTGATGCTGAAAAGTAACTAAGTCAGAAAACTGCTTTAGACAAAGCATGGAGCCTGCTAAGGTTATATGCAGACTCTTAGGGAACGTCTACATAGCAAAGACAAACCCACAGATGGCCCGTGCCAGCTGATTCAGGTTCACAGGGCTCAGGCTGAGGGGCTGTTTCATTGCTGTGCAGTCTTGCGGTCACAGACCTGCAAGGTGGGAGTGTCCCAGAGCTCAGACTCCAGTCCAATCCCGAAAGTCTGCAAATTGAAGACTAGCACTAATCGCCATCATTAGTGTCCTGATCGCCACTCTAGAAATGTAGATTGGCATTGCTCAATATATATTCCTCCCTTTCCAATATTTAATTAGTTCTGGAGCCAATTTAGAAAACTCAGGGGTCATTGCCTCTGCCAATAACTTTTTACAGTACCTTGCTCTCCTTTCCTTATTTCCAAATGAGATACACATTTCTCTCACTCGACAACATACTTTTCCCATATTGACAGTCATCTC